TTTATGGCTTAAAACATACCATGGATAGAAAGAACAGATAGAATTATTTTAAACAAAAATATTTCTGTTTTATAGCTTTGAATCTTGCCTCGGTACAGACGCGATGAAGTAGGTCAATTTTACTATAATTTTTGCATAATTAATTAGGCAAAAACCGCTATTTTCGTTTTTCCTCATTTTCTCGAAAACTATAGATTCTTGAAAGTTGAAAATATTTTTTTCGAAGATAGTTCCCCAAAGGGGTTTTTCTGACAAATTATCAGAATTTTCGTTTTTTTTAGCTTGGCCAGCGATTCTCGATATTTACAGTCATGTGCTCTTAAACTGTAATTATTTTCTTTGTTGTTTTCTTTCTTTTATTTTGTCTTTGTCAGTTTCTATCGTATTTTAGACGTATTTTTCGCTTCTCTTCCCAGTCGCACTCACCTGGGAATGGGAACACCTGAAAAGCAAAAACAGACTTGAGGACTTTCCTCGTCCTCCGTAGCGTTAGTCCATGAAACTTAGACGCCCATGGTACCCTCTGAAATATCTTTTTCCCTGCTATATATACTACGGATAAGTCCCTTGGAGGGCACTTATTGATAGTTTGGGTAGTGGTTATGCCGCTGAGGCCTTCAAACCCTACCTCTATTTAAGACAAAAAACCAGTCAATTCATTACCCTGTTTTGCGACACAAAAGACCATGTTTATGACCCTTCTAGTCCATTTTTATTTTTCATACAGCATTAAGTAATAAAGGAAACAGAAAAAAAAAATTAAAAAAGAAAACAAGATTCACTGATTAGATTTTGTAGAAGTTTGCACATGTAGACGGCGCACCGCCAACGTCTACCCCCTCTTCAAGGCCTTTCGTCCGCAAAAATACCATGTTCAACTAAGACGCTTGGAATAGTATAACCTGTTTAAGAATCAGGGCCTCCAAAACCTTACCTTTGTCTTTGTCACAAAACCGAATTAGACTGAGATCCTTAGCCTGCTTTACGTAAGTACCGTGTAGATCTCCGGAAGAATTTTTTGCAGCCAGCCCTCAAAACCCCGAGAGACTTCTCCTGCTTCTGATCAATATATAGGAAGGCTATTCCAAAGAACTGCTCCAGAAAAACTATTTTTCTTAACATTTGTCTGGAGTAGAGGGATAGCGAGTTTGCTGTTGGCGTCTCTTAAAAAGTAATTGGAGATATTGCAACCATCTGCCATTGCTAGATCTACTATGCACTTGACAAGGCCCCTCAAGGTACTTAAGATACAGTCGACTCCCGGTAACTCGAACCCTCTATAACTCGAACCTCCCGCTAACTCGAAGCAATTTTTATTTTCCTACAGATCATTTTCTATATAACTTTACCCTCGATAACTGGAACTCCCGATAACTCGAACTTTTTTCTACTTCCCTTGAAGGTTCGAATTATCGGGAGTCGACTGTATATGACGCATATTCTGCGATACACCCGCGTCTCACCGCTCTTTGACGAAATGCCCCTAGCGGCAGATAGCGATGAGAGGAAGCTGTATCTCAGGATTTTGGACACAAGGCTTTTCTACTATTTACATGGGTAAACCAGTCGCTTCACGGTTTGGGCAAATGGTGAACAGAATTCACGACTGATGAATTTGGATTCCGTTCAGTAATTGCATTCACCATTGGCCTAAGTCAGTTTCGCATAACGAAAAAAAACGGCGAAAGCCTGAAACAAATATTCAGAAAAGGTTTGAAGACATGAAATCCGAATTTCCGCCTGGAATTTTCCAACCAGGAAAATAGCCGAATGCACCTTTTGAGACGTTCCGTTTGTTTCAGGAATTTTTCACCGAAACGTAGAAAACAACCCGAAACTGAGTTAATGATAAGCCTATCAAAGCACTAAAGTGTCCTCTTAGTTTGTTTTAATGGGTCATATATAGAGTCATGTAGTAGCTTCATGATTCATACACGTTGTCATACAAGTATATAGGCTCGTCTTTGGCATCCACGTAGCTCTTCTTCAGTTTTGAAACCGGGGGGTGCTCCCTATAATGGCCTATACGGGGAGCCTACGCCCGGAAGGGGTACCTTTTTCAGGCTTCAGGTATATGAAAGGGTAGGGACTTAACTTGTTGCAGTATATGAAAGGGTAGGGAAATCTGTCATTTGGGTCTGTGAAATGGCCCGAAGGGACGAACAGATGAATTTCATGGCTTTATAAAGTCGGGAAAACGTTCTATTTTTGTGATTGATTCCTATTTAAATGACAATGCATTTACAGCCGTTAAAAGGGATGCAAAATTGTAAGCAAGGTATGTGAAAGGGGTACCATTTGCCAATAGAAGGTATACGAAAGGGACACCTTTTTCGTGAAAAATGGTATATAAAAGGGTAAGGGGTTAGACCTCAAGGCGATCCTCCCCGCATGAAAAATTCTTGAGTACACCCCGGGTTTTGAGAGCCCGCAAGGGTAAAAACTTCGAAAAGAACTATTGCACCAATACTTGTCGAAAAAATTTAATTGCTTCCAGGAAACTAGTTTTTATAAACCAAATGGCATTGTTTGGCGATGATTTAATCCGGTAAATATCTCGCAATGCAAAAATTTCTTTCAGTAAACAGCGTTAGTTTTAAGATTTTTTTCTGTTTATATACCATTTTTCGATGGAAACTGAACATGAAAGTGTGTGACGCTATCTCGGGGACGCTATATATGTTGTATCTGAAGAAAATGCTGAAATCGATGAGAATAATAGGTTTACTGAAAGACTTAAATTCTAATCGGCTTTTAATCTGCCTTTAAGTAGATTGTCTAAAGCGTATCTGTCGGTAAAATGACTAGCGTGACGGGCCGTGTCACGCTATTTCTAACCACTGGAATGTCGCGATTTTTCGCAAAATTAGGGTTGAACTCGGGGTCTTGCGGGCTACTTAAAATCGTTTTCCCAGAGATTTAATTTGTTTCGATTTTCTGATACATTGGGGCCTAATCAAGCCGTAGGGAGTCAATTTGCGAACTTTTAAGTTATAGCGCATTGTAAAAATTTGCATTATTTTATTCCTTTAATTTTAAACGGTAGAAATTGTCAATACGGCCTATTTTTAACTATACCTTTTTGGCCACAAATTTATTACAGCTTTCACAAATGTATCGTCTTATAAGAGAGAAAGGGTCATAAAAACTATTCGTGTTTTTCAAAGGCTGCCAAATCGTCCTGGTTTGACGTACGAGTCACTGAAATTTGTGTAAAATTTCGCTTTACCGGAAGTGGATTTTGAGCTCCGAACGGGCAAAATGAGTTTTCTCGAATTTTAACAAAAGAATACGTTATTTGGGAAAACTAACAACAGCATGTTTCATTACTCATTAAGGGTTATCGATGAGCCAAAAATGAGCGAAATCAAATGTTGAACTTGTGCCTACCGTGGGTCGATATTTACGGAAAGCAGCTCTTAATAGTCATCCATTCATCAATGTCTTTAATGCAAGATTGAATGATTTGGACCGATTGTTTTCTGGATTGGGGAGAAGATGATTAAAAAAAACAGAAACAACAGAGTGTCATCAGCATGCGGATGAAATTGAACTTGTGTTGCGTCCACGTTGGTTACAGCTCTTACATAATCAACTGGTTACAGCTGTTAAATAATCAACCCCAAACTCAAGCCGTAAAATTCCGAAAATAAGCCCCAAGGCTTATATTTTTCAATGGCCCTTTCTGAGGGACTTATTTTTGCAGGGGCTTATCTACGGAGGGAAATTTGTGTTTCAAAATCGATTGGGCTAGCCTTGGCTAGCCTTTTTACTTTGTATTTGAGGGCAATTTTCCAAGAGGGGGGCTTACATTTGGAGGGGCGATTTAACGGAGGGTTTTGTTGCTTTACCGGTTTGGGGACTTATATTTGGAGGGGCTTATACATGGAGGGGCTTATTTTCGGAATTTTATGGTATTATCACACTGAAATATCACCAATTCACCACTTGCACCAATCGCTATAACTAGTATAGCAGGAATGGAATTATCCCCTTTGTGAGGTGAAATCTCATTAAATTGAAGTGGAATAAAGAAATTTCAACATCGTCATGAATGACATGAATGAAGGATTTTGTCCTCTCATTTTTCACTCACTGCTCCTCCCCTCCACCACTGACTCATTGGCGGTATGGAGGGAAGCAATAAAAATGTAGTAGTGGTGGAGGAGAAAGAGGGAAGACAATAAAAAAAAGACAAAAAAAATGAGTGAAAAAAGTCAACGTTAATTTATTACACCCTAAAATAATGATTCCACCTCGAAAAGGGAATAATTTCATCTCTACTTCACTACCACGCAGCTTTACACTTGAAAGAGGACGAGCAAATCGAGGTTCTCTAACCAGTAATTAAGTGATTGGTGTTTGAGATTTTGGAGCAGTTGCTCCTTTAAAACCAATAAGTTGGCTGGCTTTGCACACTAGCTGTATAATATGCTTATTCCATGTAATTAATGTCTTTATAATAAAGACGCTAAGACTTCTTTCCTTGTGGACTAATTCTTAGTAAGTTCCGTTCATGTAATACGTACAACCAGGCTCCATCAGTGCCATTGGTTTTCCTATTGGCTTATCTATAGGTTGTAACATTTTGTTTGTTTGAAATAAAATACGTTAAACCACAACGACTGATATAAATGTAAAAGAAACGGCTAAAGTGCAATTTGACATTTTTTAAAAATATCTGCGATTAATATATTATCCTAAAAGGTGTAGTACGCCCTAGAAGTGGATAGAGAGAATTAGCGGTCTCTTTACAGGTGAAGGAAAACCCTACCTCTCTTTGCTTCAAGCAATTCGCTCTCTGTGTTGCTCGAACTTCAGAGGTAAGTAGATATCCCGAATCCCGTCCGCCTTCTAGAGGCCTTTAAAGACTACCACACATTGGTTAACATTAGCCGTTCAATTTAGAAACCAGTTGCCTACCACTGTGCAAAATAGAAACGTTAGGAAATATACATTGCCTCTTTTCTCGTTGCGACTTCAATAAAGCATAATCTTGTATGTTTCTCCATCCAGAACTTCCTTTAGAGATAAGATCACGAGGACGCTTGGCTGTGGAAGCTTACAACAAGGCCCTCACTGAAGGGAAGGCATATGTCAAGAGGGTTCCAATACTGTTGATTGGACAAGATCATTCTGGAAAAACCAGCCTAAAAAGGTCACTGATAGGAAAACCTTTCAATCCCGATGAAGACAGTACCATAGGGATAGATGTTGACCCCTCACATATTAAAGTCTCAACTGAGATTTGGAAGGTGGGGGAGAACACAGGGGGTTCCGAGTTGACAGATGCTATAGAAGCCATTTCCTTTGAGCAACAAGCGGCTCGTTTGGTTGCTGACGATTTGCGGACGATAATCATTCCTAAGATCTCCTCTGATTTCACTCTGAAAAAGGAAGTACACCTCCCTATCGAATCGCCCAGGATACCACATAGGGTCGCAACATTGATTAAAAAGTTACTAAAGGAGGATAAAAACGCCCAAGATGACGAAGAAATTCATACCATTTTATGGGATTTTGGTGGAGAAAGTGTCTACTATACCACGCATCCACTTTTTATCACTGCAAGAGCAATGTACCTTTTGGTTTATGACCTTAGCCGGGATCCATACGAAATAGCTAAGCCAGTTGTGAAGCAGGGGCTGTATAAGAAAATTTTAGACAGTTATGGCACGAAAATCAATCTGGACTATCTCAATTTTTGGATGACATCCGTAGCTTCCCTAGCCACTGAAACGGAAGAGCAGTATGTAAGGTTGGCCCGTGTTCAAGTGAAGGTTCCTCCCGTGTTCCTAGTCTGCACTCACGCTGATGAACCTAACAGAGGAGCAGATCCGTTCGCTCTCGCCCGTGAGGTATTTGGCAGTTTACAGACCAAACGCTTCAAGAACCACATATATGAAGATGTGTTTGTGGTAGACAACACCAAGTCTGTAGGGCTTGGATCTGAATGCTCAGAAGTTACACGATTGCGAGAAGAATTACTTGCTGTTGCTAAAGAGCTACCTCAGATGAAAGAAGCCATCCCAATCAAGTGGTTGAAATATGAGAGGGCTCTTCAAGGCACTGTACGAGACGGTCGTAAATGGATTTCTCTCCCTGTGGCAAAAGAAATTGCATTTGAAGTGTGCAAAATTGATGATGATCAAGAATTTCTCACATTGTTGAACTTTCTACACGACCAGAGGATTTTGGTTCACTTTGACGACACACCATCGTTGAGTATTTTTGTCGTCTTGGACCCTCAGTGGTTAGTTGATGTCTTCAAAACGGGGATAACAGTTAAGCCGTATGACCAAGAAGAAAGTAAATTTAAAGAGCTGTGGTTGCAGCTGGAGTCAACAGGCATTCTTGGCGAAACACTTTTGGAGCACGTGTGGGGTCCTTTATTAAGCCAGGAAGAAACCTCCACTAGTCTTCTTGCTATCATGGAAAGGTTCAGCCTGCTCTGTCCATGGCCTTGTTCGAATGCTTCAAGTGGCAAACAGTACCTCGTGCCATCCATGTTGAAGTCACATCCACCAAAGGAGATCATGAAGCTGGTTGCTTCTGCACAAATTCCTTCTCTCTTCCTCTGGTTTCAGTCGGGTCAGGTTCCTCCAGGATTCTTTTCCCGACTCGTGTTACAATTTTTTCAGTGGGGCCAAGACGAGTTTTGGAGTGCAGAGAATCCCCAGTTGTATGCTGATTTTGCGCGATTTTATACGTCTGCGGATGACGACTGCTCTGTAATCCTTCTATGTCATTCATCGTGTATTGAAGTTGTGGTTCACAGAGGAAATCTCAGTGCTAACCCAGCAGAATGTTTGCAATCCAAGTTGAACCTTTCTGCAGATATCAACTATGGTGCATTTGAAGTGGCCTGTGCTCGTGCCGTGCGCCGACAACTGGGATTGATGCTTGAGTGCATGCGAAAAGAATTCTGTTGGTTGAAGAATATGATGTACGAACTTGGTGTAATCTGCCCCGTCTGTTGCCAAGAATGCAAGGGTAATTACCGTTGCACCCACCACAAGCAGTGTTGCGAGCAAGAGGAATGTCTGCACTTCTGGTCTGAGTCTGATTTACGTAGTGCCAATCAGTTCATCAGATGTCGTAGGTGTGCAGCCGCCCAAAGTGACAAAGTGTACGTCAAACGGTTTAATTTGTGCCTTGGTTTGATCCCTTAGATGAACAGGTGAATACACTTTCACTACCATGTCGTTATTTACCGCTTCTCATGAACATGTTAGATCTTTTACAGAACTACTGAAAGCAGATTCCACTCACCAGTCGATTTTTAAAGTGTCTAAACAACACAAACAATGTTGCTGAAGACATTCTTGATATTGCAGTTTGCTAAAGCGACCCTTAAATTCTCCGTTAGCGGTTTTGTTTAATGGCTTTAAATACTCTTTTTCCAAATGCAACTTGGTACACAGAATTGCTGACACAGTAGATTGAAATAGCCTTTGAGTATCCCTTGCGTCATTGTTTATTACAGATTCCAACTGATGAAAGTGAAGAAAGTCGTCCAGCTTCAGGGGGAGGTAGGACTGTTACTTTAGAGTGACTAAATAATGTAAAACTTGTGCTAAGGTAATACTAGCCTAAGAAAACAGCCGACATTTTTGCGAGTTCCCTGCGAAATGACGTCTGAGGAAAGAACGAAGATATTCCATACTGATGACGCGTCTCTACCCAGATCTGGGTAATGATGTTCATTGGCTGATGCAAATTTTCATTCAATCCCAAGCATTACCCAGATCTCGGTTATGACACGTCATCAGTGTGGAATATCTTCACTCGTTCTCGACTTGGAGACCATTTCGTCACTTCCAGTCCTCCCCTGAAAGTTGTGGGGGAACATAATTCCTCTATATTACAAAAGCTTTCCAAATGATTAGAGGTCAACTTGACAAGGACTCTGGTGGCTCAAAAAAAAAAACAAAGCTGAAAACTGTGAGCAGAATATGAGGTTGGTAATTGCTTAGTAGGGTACTAGTGTTGTTAAAGTTAGTTTCTTTCGCAGGAATTGATGAAAAAGTGATTGCTCTTCCAAGCAAGGCCATAGAAACAATTATGTCGCAGCCGTGTGACTCTAGAGAGGTTGTACTTCAATTGAGAGACTCTTTGCAACTGAATCAGGATTCACTTGAACAGCCAGACCCTGCGACCAAACGATTGATCCGTTGCCTGGCAAATAAAGCAAAACAGGCTAACAGGCTTGATGTAGTGAAACATCTGAGAGATATTGCACCAGCTGGAACTACAGGTGAGTTTGTTGCCGTGAAATATAGATAAATAAGGTAATATACATGTAATATTTTCTTGCAGTGCACTTGTTACATAACCTTCCTCTTTGTCTCATACCTTTCCACCTTACAGTAAGCCACCCCATCTAGCCCACGGTTGCCCATTATGACTCTTTAATAAATATTTATTCATTATTTTAGGTCCTTTGTTGTCTGAGCACCTTGATATTGGTAATATTCCCGTTCGCCAGATGACTGATCTCACTCTTGAGTTAAGCGGTAAGCGTAATTATGCTTTGCAGTTGCTGAGTCGTTCAAATCTCAGAATTATTGATGCGGATGGTTAAGCCAGCCTGATTGATATCTCAATGAGGGGACTTGTTTGTTATGGACAGTTTAGATTTAAGACTAGATTTACAAATTTAAGACGACATAAGAACTCAATTAATTAATAATTTTGCTCATTGTAAATACAGCTGCAAATGTTCTCATTGGTGAAAAGCACATGAACGGCTTGTTCACGCTGAGTCCTAAGTCGAATTTCAGATGTTTCGTAAAAATTGCACCATTGACGGACTTCATATACCACGTGCACCCTGCTTATAAAGCCCGGGGCTGTCTCACTCTCTTTAATGGCCTATACGGAGTATACGGGGAGGCTCTGCCCGAAAGAGGAACCTTTTCAGGCTTCAGGTTTATGAAAGGGTAGGGAGTTCACTTGTTGCTGTTGCTGTCATTTTGGTTGGTAAAAAGGCCCAAAAGAACAACCAGATGCATTTTATGACTGTGAAAAAGGGTGAGGGGTTGGATCTCGGGGCAGAGTCTCCCCGTATAAGATTTTGTTGAATACTCCTCGGGGTATAAAGGAAGAAGTATTAGATTTCACAGGGAGAGTCTTTTTTAGGACAAGTCGCTGAAAATTACCTTGAAAGGTTTAATTAGAGTCAAGTACTAATCATATGATTTGGCGGTTGTGGATCCCGTTTCATATGAAGGCAAAGATCTCAAGCTTGATGTCTCGATTTACTTTCTAGGAGGAGAGGAATGGAAGTTGGTGGCAGAAGAACTGGGACTGTCTGCAAGAGAGATTCGTTACATTGACAAGCGAGTTATGAATCCATGCGAAGCCGTTCTGGCGTATATTTCCAGGCAGTGTTCTATAAGCGTGGGTGAGCTGTACGACAGGTTAAACAAATGTGGGCTGCCTGTGACAGCTGACCTTCTATAATGATGTCATGTCACAGCTTTAGAAGTAGAGTTAGTGAAGGCGAAAGTATTGTGGTGTCCATTTTTAACTTTGACCATTGTTCTGGTGTTGATTTGGACTATTCAGTAGTTAAGTCAAAAGATAATAAAATTAGACCTTCATATTCCTAGAAATAAAGCTCACTTGTACCAGACAGTTGACTCTCCGGATCAATTAAGGTTTCTGAGAAAATGCCCACCTACCCATCCCCTAAGCCAACATTTTGCCTTAAGTGAGAAGTGATTGTTATTGTTAGCTTAGGGGAGGGGTAGGTGGGCAGTTTCCCATAAACCTAAAGTGACCATTCAAAATGCTCATATTTAGAGGAGGTGCCTTACGAGAATTGATCCACAGGGAGTCTCTTCGTAGAAGAGGTTTGAACACATCTAAGTTTTGGAAGAGAATTCATTGGATGCTATTTTTAAGTTACTTTGTGTGTAGTTTCATGTTGGGACCAAACGTTCTTAGTATACTCCGAGTAGTGTAGTAAACATGTGTCACGCGGTCGCTTACAGGAGGGTAAAAACAAAATTCAAAAATCATCATCCGCAATTAAAAGTGGTTGCGGCGCTAACAAGATGTGGTGGTTTTTAAAGAAGTTCTAACTGTAGTGATTTGACCGGAAAATTTTGGTGTTTTGGATAGGTGGTCGCTTATGGGAGGTGGTCAGTTACGAGATGGTCGCACATGGAGGTTTAACTTCATATTTCCTTTTTTATATCTATTTTTTTTGTTAAGAAGAACCACTGCTGGCTAAATATATAGTGCAGACGTGTATTTAGATGATATGTTACGTCTGTTTGAGACCTCTTCACAACAACTTAGTGTGAGATGGTGTGATTAGCTCACTAATGTCCAGATTTGCACGCAGCTGCAAAAATTTGCGATATTTCGTGTGTTTGCGAAAAATCGCAAAATTCCGCGACTTTGCATAGCTGTATCTTTGTTAGTTTTCAACAAATCACTTTTACAATTGCCAACTTTATCGATTTTATTAAGTGTTCTTTGCAGCCGTGTGGACTGATTTTCGGTAACTAGTCCCGCTCAAAGCTGAAAAAACCGTGGAACGGAGCTGTTGAGGACTTGCAGTGAGTGAGAATCTTGCATGCAGTGCAATCCAATGGTTTTCACGTATGAAAGGCTGGGTTATTATTCAAACATATTGTTCACAGAATAAAAACTGAGTTATGTCATCTTCCTGTATTAGTGAAACACTCCAAAATCGTGAATGTTTGCAGTGTAGTAGATCTAATGAATAACGGCAATTATGAAGGCATATTAGAAATTTACTCACAATATGATCAATACACAGTAAAAAAAAAGCATTTTTACGACTGAGTAAAGACAACTCAATTTTGAGTTAACTGTCACATTTTACTGATTTTATTGAGTAAAATTACTCACAATATGAGTTAACTTCTTTTACCTCTCAGAAAGGGTTATAACAACAGCTTCAAGCTCTCCTAGCATCACTGACACGTTCACCCTCTCAAGTCAAGTTCACAAATACAGCACCCGCTCCTCTTCAGCTGGTAATTTTTATCGAAAATACTCTCGACTATTAAAAACATCACAAAAACTCGTTTGCCAGCGTCGGGGCAAAAATTCGCCGAACAGTATCCCTAAGGAAACTCTCAAAGTTTGCTAGTTAAGAAGCAAATACACAATCTAAAATTTCTCAACCTTCAAAGGCACTAAAGAGTAGATAGCCTGTGTGCAGACACCCCTTCCCCTCAGAGGGGCGGATGGGGCGTCTGTACACAGGCTAAAGAGTTCGTTAAGAAATGAAATCTCTTGTGGGGTCCCTCAGGGTTCTATCCTCGGACCTCTATTTTTCTTACTGTACATTAACGACATCAACAATGCTTCTAATCTATTAAATCTGATATTGTTCGCTGACGATACCAATGTATTCATGTCACATAAAGATCTGAACTATCTCTCAGATATGTTAAACTTGGAGATGGACAAACTGTCAATCTGGTTTAAAGCAAACAAGCTTTCTCTAAATCTTAAAAAGACTAAATTTATGGTCTTCAAACCAAGACAAAAGCGTTCAATTTGTAATATTCAAATAAGTATAGATAATCAAAATATTGTTAAAGTAAAGGAGACAAATTTTCTAGGCGTAATTTTGGATGAAAACCTAAATTGGAAGTCGGAAATATCTCACGTTGCAAGTAAAGTTGCGAAGTCAATCGGTATAATATCTAGATGCAGCTTCTTTCTTCCTAAATCGTCTTTACGTATGCTCTACTATTCCTTAATTTATCCTTATTTTTACTACTGCAATATCGTTTGGGCTTCGACCTATAAAACTAATCCTCGCCGCCTTGTTATCCTGCAAAAGCGCATTATTAGAATTATTAATAAATCACATTTTAATGCTCATACTGACCCCATCTTTAAGGACCTCGGTATACTAAAATTTAATGATATCCATTTGCTTCAACTGGGCCAATTTATGTATTCTTGCAAAAATTCATTCTTACCTCCAAAGTTTAATAACAATTTCTCTCAAAGCAATCAATTCCACTCTTACAATACAAGAAATTCCCAGGCCTACCGTCTACCGTATTGTCGTACAAACACGAAGAAGTTCTCGCCCTTTTTTCAAGGGCCTAAGTTTTTTAATTCACTTGACAACAAGATCATCAACTCTCAATCCCTCTCCTCTTTTAAGAAAAAACTGAAGATTAAATTATTGAGTAAGTATGAAAACAGTTTATAAATCTTTCCATCTTCGACTTTTCGCCTTCTTCTCTTCAATTGATGTGAAACAGCTCTAGCTCATAGTTCGAGGAGGCCTAACCTCTCATAAGCTCCTATAGTTTCTGTTAGGTCTCCTCGCCACTTCTTTTTTTTTTTTTTTTTCTTCTTCTTTTCCTATATTTTTTGTAATTAGTGTGGCAAATAAAATAAAATAAATAAAAAAATAAAGAGTAGACGGTCAGCATTAGGTAACGAAGGGTGAAGTAGACCCGAAGAGTCGGAATTTCCGATCGTCCCAGTGACGTCATTTTCCGATCGTGTTCTGACAAAACAACAAAGATGGCGGCACAACGTGGCTGACATATGGATGCTCTTTACTCTGTTAACCTTTCTTTATAATAAGACAAGCATTACATATTTTATAATCTCTCACGCGGGCGAACAACCACCTCTAATCAGCGGGTGAACAAAATGATGTCTCTCCCACAGAAATACTGTACTACCTCACTTGATGTCACCATACTCAGCAGCGGACAATACATAACATAACATAGGGTGAAGCTTTCTTGATAGTAGAACGATAAACATCCGGACGAAACGGTTGGATTAATATACAACATTATATTATGTAAAATTAGCAAAACTACTACATGAAAAGGAAAGTGTGGTCCGAATTTTGTCAGTTTTCAGGTACTTTTTTATGAACAAAATAATTTAAGTTCAAGTTTATGGTAACATAAACTGTTGTTAATAAACCTGAGAATGATGCCCTATGAAAGCACACTTAGGACATACTAGCAACAATCATGTCCCGGTTCTTATGTCACACAACGTGCAACATTTGTATAAGCTTTTGTACTAAGTAATGGTAGATACTAGTTCAAAGTACAAGAAAGAACAATGAACACTAACTAGTTGTTTGATTACAATGTATCCTTCTTCTTTTGCAAAGTCCACTGTAATGTAGCATGATATATTACTAGACTCCACAAAGGTTCCATTCATATTATCACATGCTTATCATGCACTTGTGCTCCTCTTTTTGCAGTACACTGTCCTTTTCCAGTCAGTTCGTTTAGAGATTCGGTTCATTCATAACAGCGTTTTTTCCCTCCCACCCACCCTTTGGTCTGACTGGAACCTTTGTTTAGTTCTTCGATTATTTCTTATGTTCCCTATATATTTCAAATCAAATCAAAAACTCTATCTCACTTCGAATTCCAAAAGATAGCATCAACTAATGCTCATATCTCCAAAGGTATAGCAAAAACAAATAGAATATAAATGACAAAGGTAATGATAATAAAGTAATACTATATATTATGTACAAGTTTAAGATAATGTAGAAACAAGAAAATTATTATATACTGTGTGTCTACAGTACCTAGTGATAATTAAAACTAATTACAAAGGAGCAGCATTTATTATCTATTATTAATGCTCTTAATTTTTTGATTTGAAAACATGTAATGATTCAGCAGTTCTAAGTACCTCTAGGAGCATATTCCAATATTGGCTGGCAGAGTAGCAGAGTAGCAGTATTTAGCACGACCAGAACGTATTTTAAGCAGATCATTACTTTATTCCCCTACATCTATATGTATCCTTAAGATTAATCATTTATATTGTGGTGTTATACTTGACTAGGTCTCATTCCTTCATTAGGTTCCGGGGATATGAAACTGCTGTCTGGCTTCGAAATAAAAGGAGTGGCAGGGAAGTGCAACTCCTGGCTGCACTTTACCCCACAGTAAGGCTTAGCCCTTGGAGACAGGTCCGGAAAAATATCCACTCCAGGGTGTGGACCCCCCGGTCCCACAGGATCTGTACTCCACCCAGGAGGGTCACCCCTCCTGGTTCCCCTCAGTTCTTGTACTGGGGGATATGGGCCTCACCCCCGGAGACTGATCAGGACTCCTGTCCAGGGTGGCTACCCCCGGTACCACTCGATCTTGTCTCCCCCCAGGAGGGCTTCTCTCCTGGTCCCCTTATCCCTAGATTTAAGCGCTTCCCTGCCACCAGAATTTTGCCTATTACCCTTTGTGTGTTTTCTGTGTGGTACCGACATAAAGAGTTTATGCGTAAAACACTGCCAATTGGAAGAGTTTATTAATACATGTATGTAAGCTTACTTTCTTTGGGACTTAATAAAATCATGTATGTATTTTCCTAGATTGTGTTGCTTTGAGATGACCTTAGTGGGGCTTTCTTTAATATTATCATTTATTGACACAGCGAAGGGAAACGTGGTCGGGAATCATTAAAAATACCAATAAAAAGCATCTTCAGTCACCTACCCCTCCCTGACAAGATGCGAACTACTGAAAGAAAATCATTAACTATTTCCTTCTTCCGCAGACCTGTCTGTGTTTCGAGGAAAAATTTGGCGGGTAAATTAATTTTTTCGCCGTGAGGATGGAGGACATCACAATTGATTCGGAATATCGCAAAGAAAATAAGAGCACTAAAGAACAGCTGGAAGGTTGATTGCAAATTTTGAAACTAAAAACATTGTCAAATTTGCCTGTTACAAGGCTGAAGAAAACTTTGGAAACGACAGTTTTGATAGATTAAGGCCAGGGGGCATGTCAGCAAAAAGGGATTATGGCCAATCTGCCCGGGGGGTACTTTAAAAAGTTTGGGGTGGTGATGTACCACTGGGACCCCAGAACTCTTAGCCTATACTAAATACTACACTAAACCCTTAAAATTCCTCCCTATCCTAGAGTCCCTATTTTCATCCTTTCTGCCAAGGGTGACACTTTCTTTGCTATTTAGTAAATTTAGATTCGCTGATGTCATATTTTTGAACGTTAACTCCTAATCTGCCTGGTCTAGACAGAAAGTTTCAACCAATTGATCAGTTTCCTGGAAAATGATACCCTATTCTAGATTCAAATTGTCTGATTCTTATACCATATCCCAGACTAAACTACTTGAAAACCATACCCTTCACAGTGGCACATACCTATTTAGCTATACTTTCTCAGTCACCCGCTTTTGCCTTGTGGCAAGTCTACTATATAGCTCATAGGTACCCCCCCCCCACCCAAAACCATTTCTTCTGCCTAAAATAATACACATTGCAGCTATTGAGAAATTGCTTCTCTTCTGGATATACACCCAACCCCCTCCTTTAATTTACATTGGAAATTAAAGGAATTCATGAAAAAAAAAACCACACACACATACATAGCATCCCGAATTTATTAGAAAATTATATTATAGCTGTCACATTGTCACAAAGGTGATATAACTCGATCAGCTTAACCCTTTAAACCCTAAGATCAAGATTTGAATTCTCATTTGTTGCCCCCATTTATTTCCTACAGAAGTAGTGGGAAGAAGTTGATAAAATTTATTAAAAATTTGATGCTGGTCACTCTTAGGGCTTAAAGGGTTAAGTAATATATTGACACAATTTTGTTTTGTTGACTGAAGATACTTGGTAATAAGACGCACCCCAAAATTAGCACAGGGATTTAAAAATCTATTAAACAAACTTACACTGAAAAATTGCTTCAGCTTATAACTGAAAAATATGGTAATCATACTTTGAGGATAGAAGCAAACCATATTTTAGCAATTAGTAGCACAAAATAAGCCAAACCACCAGCCCCTGCCTTGTGGCCTAAAAAGTAGCACTAACAAGCAAAATAGTGACTGAATGGCTCAGTGTGCCCTTACATTAGCCTGCGGAAACAGTCGTTTCTCCTCGCTGCTGAGGTCATTTCGCAAGGGGGAACATCTGCAACTTAGCAAGAGAAATTCCATAATGATGACGTAAATCAATGTCTACATATAATATATCCTGTAGTCACGGTGTTCCGAATGCATATAATTGTTTAATTTTACGTTTCTCCTGGTCGATTTTGGTAAAGTGTTGTGTTCATCTGCGAATGAGCTCCAGCAAAACTCAAATGCTTCTTCTAGAGAAGAATTTATTTCACAAATACTAACTGTTTTGTTATAGATTCATCGTGTTTACATTTGACTTTTGTGGCTGCGCTGAGTTGCAGACATTACTCGGTGCGAAACATCCCCAGCGGTGAAGAGCAAGGAGAAACAGCTGTTTTCGAAGGCTACCCTTACATATCAAATAAATATGCAGGTAAGTATTGTGAGTGTAACAGAATTTGGCACAAGTAGCTGATAAGTCTGACCTGACCTTTGAGTGGAGGTCTTAACTTCTAGCTTTTAGATACAAACACTCCAGCACTGTTATGTTTTAACAGGCTTGAAAGACAGCCTTTAAAATAAGATCAATATGTATGCTTCATTTAATTCCTTTACTGTCAATATTAAAAGATATTAACAAAAACTAAGGATACTTCTTGCGAGCAGACTTTTATTTTTAGTTTTGTTGCCACTGCTACAGATTACAGAAATGAAAATCACAGACTCTATTAGGAGGAGCCCAAAGAAGTCAATGGCAAAAAAATAGAATTCTCAGGAGTGCCATTTTACATAATGGGTTCAAAGATCTATGACTGCCAGCATGGAAAAGACAGAAATGCTGCCCTTAAAAGGAAACAGCAGCAGCAACACAGGGAAGTATACAACAGGCCAAATGACATTTTAATTGACCATGGCTGCCAGACGCTACTATCCCCACAAGATGCTGTTACTTTCTTTAACGTAAAGAAGAAGCAAATTGGCAGGACTGACTGTGGCCTCTTGGCGCTAGTATTTGCCACTGATTTGTGCTTAGCTCTAGACCGACATAATCAGAAGTACAAACAGAATGAGATGCGCCAGCACCTTATACATTGTCTGGAATCAGGAAAAATGACCCCCTTTCCTAGAACTGACCGAAGAGTGCAAACTCATCTCTCCTACAACAAAATAGCTATCAAAATCTTTTGCCTTTCAAGGCTTCCAAATGATAAGTAAGAATATGTAGAATGTTTCTCATGCAAAGGCTGGTGTCATCCTAAATGTGCCTCAATTCCAACATGGGCAGTCAACTCAAAGGTACCATGGAAATGCCCCAAATGCAAACCACGAAAAGAAAAAAAGGGCTGAAGAACATTTAGGAGCAGAGGACAAGCAGGAAAAGAATGGCATTGAATTGAAAGGAGGTTGAAACGAAATATAAAAGAACATCATCTTAAAGTAAATAATGAATGAAATTGCCCTTTCATAGTAAGATGTCGCTTATCTTCCTGAATAGCTACAACAAAATCACTGGAACATCTTTGTATATTTTGCTACATGACATACTAAGGCAACATTATGTAACAAAATATAGTTTAACACTATATACAATGTACAAGGCTCAATTGCTACCATTATTCCTCCTTACGAAAAGACAGCTGAATGCAATCGGCCAATAATGTGATGGCTGTGTAAGAAATGGGAAATGTCATCAGACACTGAACACACTGTAAAATCTTCTCCTCTTCGGCGTTTAGGTCGTTTATGACAATAAAGTCAGCAACAATGCCTACTAACTTAGCAAAGTTACAGGTGAGTGACAACAGGGACAGACTTGATATTGTCTCTTTTATGGTGGCTATTATTAACAACCATTGGTGCAGACTGGAAATTTGTAGCCAGCTTTCAGGGGAGGAGCTGAGTGCGCACTCATTTCTTGTACAATGCCAGGCAATTGAGCCTACATCTACACCCAATTCATCTCACAAATAATCAAAATTATATGCGTTTTATACCTTACACAACAGTAACAACCTCTGCTCTGTTTCAATATTTACTAATTAGGGTTTCTTGTAACTTTCCATTTCATAATGTTCACAGGTTTAATTATAAAGTGGTAAGATTCAACATTTCCACATAACCCCATACATCTATTATTCATGCAGCAATCTCAAACTATTTCACACAAATAGTTTATGAATAGAGACGAAACATGTATGCGTAAGAAATGTAAGGGGCTGAGCGGAAATCTTACTGCAAAGTAATTATCCTCACCCTCATGATGTTATGTATTGTCCGCTGCTGAGTAGAGTAACATCGAGTGAGGTAGTACAGTATTTCTGTGGGAGAGACATCATTTTGTTCACCCGTTGATTAGAGGTGGTTGTTCGCCCGCATGAGAGATTATAAAATATGTAATGCTTGTCCTATTATAAAGAAATGTTAGCAGAGTAAAGAGCATTCCACATGTCAGCCATTTTGTGCCGCCATCTTTGTTGTTTTGTCAGAACTCGATCGGAAAATGACGTCACTGAGACGATCGGAAATTCCAACTCTTCGGGCTTCACCCTACGTTACCTAATGCTGACCAGAGTAGACAGAGGCTCTGTCTACTCTGGTCAGCATCTGAGGGTAGTTATGCTGGCAACCAATTGCGTTAACCACTGGAGAAATATTTATCCAGGGAACAGGGAAATCACCTTTTCAACAACTGGGGCCTGGATGTTACCGGTTTCTAAATCAATCTTATTCAGCTTCATATCCTAAATATCCGATACTGGGACGCTTTCATTCAAGACTTTAACTCTAGTGTCAGGATTGTGGCGTTATTTTGTCGGCAACCGAAGTTGAGCGCTGCTCCCTCTCTTTCTTCATCCCATCGTCCCTCGCGTGCTTTCTTCTACCAAGCAACGGGAAAGCGTCGCGTCATCAGGAAACAGTCGAGAGGAGTCGATGAATAAACATTGGAATTAAACCAAACGAAATGAATTAGGATAACGAGTTAGAAAAATATGGCTTCTTCAGAAGATTGCAGTCTTTCAATAGGTTAGTAAAGTTCTCTTGTTTTTCAAGTAAATGAGCAGCATGGCCAAAAGTTCTCAACATTCATCAATTTAATAGCTCTCACTGAATAGTACTTCCGGCTACAGCAACCTCTTCGAGTTGATTTCAAGTTTGAAATAATCCCAGTAAGAAAACTGATCGTTGTTTACGAGACGGAGAGAATGACTTAAACGGCAGCTAACTGGTAAGCAGCTTACTGCTATAAACAGGTAACACAGCGCTGATACAGCAGGCGCACCTAACTTTTTTTTCTGTTAAATTTTAATTTAACTGTTAAAACAGCTCGAATGAGCAAATGTTGGCTAGAAATTTCTAAAGCTGGAGAAATCATAAAAAATTTTCTTGATAACCTTTCTCTTTGATTTTTGGAATCTTTATACTAAACCAACGATTTTCTTAGATGTGGTTTTCACATTGTATTTCCAAGATATTGAGATAAGTGCTCAAAAAGGTCTTCTGAAAATTTACAGACAAAACGTCGCCCAGAACTGAAAGTACGGCTAATGAAAGTACGGCTACTCCATCTTCTAGAACTTCGACCGGACCCATCAGTGTAACCTGAGTGTAACCAACAGTTTCGAATGAAGTAAATAAGACGAAAAAGCCACCTAAAACTTTCGAGACGACCAAAGTTCCTTTACGACATCCAAACAGATAAATAGTTTTTAGGGCAGCTGTCGTTGGGTGCCGGTGATACAGCTGTAACTCAACTGAAATCGTACAGGCAAATATTCTTGAAGAGAGAATTGTATGGATAATTACATAAGCTTAGTAGAAAGGGAGTGCATGCAAATATATAATGAAACCTTAAAGCCTGGTCATGTTAGCAACTGAACGCAAGCATTGATGGTCCGTAGTGGACCGGTAAAAAAATTATCAAACATGTTTATCCATACAGGATGAAAAAGATCCAAAAATCAAAAATTGACATCGATTTTTAATGTTTGTTTGAATTGAAAATTAAAAGAACGAATGACCCACCATTAACGCAAGCACAAGCATTGTCAGTTTCACCGTGAAAAGAGCGCACTGTAGATGAATAAGCACATACGGGAAGCGCAAGTACTAGAATGCTGAAATTAGGAAGTCTTGGGGTAAGATATTTTGGCGCAAAACAAGATGGAGCAATCAATTCAAACTTCGCTACTTATTTTTTCTCTAAAGTTTCAAGAATTTAATAGCGTTCCACAACTGAACTGTTGAAACGCAGGTTTTAAAAAGTGAATTGGCAGACACATGGACTGTCTGAATCATGAGTCAGTGTATAAAAACATAGAAAATCGTATGAACTGCTCGCGTGCATTTCGTGATTTTACATGGGTACGAGTGATACATGTTTTGGAAGTTCTTAAAATTACAGGGGCCGGAGGCGAGAGCAGTTTCTTGAGATTGAAAAATATCACGAGTGATGATACGAAATGCACGAGCAGTTCATACGATGTTTTGTTTATTATATTCTCAACAATATTAAGGTCAATCTAAACGCGACCGTTATGTTGCGGTACTCATGCTGCTCTTGAATCTTATAGCCTGTGAATATTAGCCTGCATAACAGGAACTTTCTGAGCCAAGCGAGGTGAACGCGGCATTTCGCGCGAAGCGCGAAACTAGGGGAGGAGATAACTGATAAAGCGGCGCTTTATTTTTTCTCCTCCTCCGCCCGCCTCGCGCTTCTTGTGAAATGCCGTGTTCACCTCACTTGGCCCATAAATTCTTGTTAGGCAGGCTAACGAATATAGCCACCTCACTCCTATCGTCCTCGCTCCTCACCGCTAGTAGTCTCCTTCGGCAGCCGCTCGGGCCGGAGTCTGCGAAGGAGACTACACCGCTAGAGAAGTTTCATAGGACGAGCGAGGCGAGACGGCTTCACTCGCTGGCATCTAGCCTACCACAATCGCTTTTCTTTCCTTTTTTTCTTTTCTTTCATTCTTTGCTTTTTTTCGACGATTCGACGGTAACAAGCGAGGAGAGACGGCTGTATCCGCAGGCTAATCAATTGCAATCTTGTAACAGGTTAAGCCAAGCGTGAAATGTTCAGCTGCATTTTGCTACAACCCAGAAACTAATGTGGTCTACGCTTTCTTTGCTATTTTAAATCAGGGTTAAGGGTAATTTAAATTTGCTGATTTCAATTTTTCAGTGTAAATTCCAGGTTTCCCTATACTTTAGACTGCAAGGAAAATCAAAGAAAGAATGTGCAAAAAGTTTATTAAAAATCCTAGCGACATGAATGAGGTGACTCATAAAAGGTTTCGAAATAAATTCAATAAAATGAAAAAAGCTGCAAAGAAAAACTAAGTATTACAGTGAAAAACTAGAAAAAACAAAGAATAATTTGAAAGTATCTTGGAAAATTATAAAAGAGTAATAAATAAAAAAACAACAACACTAAAACAGAGTTACCTAATGCATTTAAGGAGGATGATATAGAGGTTACATATCATAGGAAATAGTTGAACGGTTTAATAAATGTTTTGTTAATATAGGACCTAGACAAGCAGAGAAAATACCAGAAAATATCATGAACTTTGCATCATACTGACTTAGGAAACATTAATGTTGACTCCATTTTCTTAGATCCAGTTACTGAAAGAGAAATAGAAAGAGAGCTGGAACAACTGAAAATCGACAAATCATGTGGGTATCAGTGATGAAATGTCTCCAAGGGTTATAAAAGCCATATCTAAACGTATAATCAAACCACTTTCTCACATATATAACCAACCTTTTCTCACTGGTTTTATACCTGATGAACTTAAATTCAGAGTTCTGGTAACCACTGTTTATAACTCAATTGAGAAAGAACTTTTCTAAAACTATAGACCTATATATCGGTACTTCCATGTTTTTAACGAATTTTGGAAAAAATTAAGGTATAAGCGAGTTCTAAATTTTCTGAATAAGCATAAAATCTTAACAGATAGTCAATACGGATTCAGGTAAAAACGTTTAACAAATCTTGCAATTCTTGAGCTTGTTTCAAAGACACCTAAGGCAGTGGACAACCGTGAACATACAACGGAGGTTTTCCTAGACCTCTGCAAGGCATTTGACACGGTAGATCTTAATATACTGCTATATAAGCTGGAACATTATGGTTTTAGAGGAAAAGCCCTTTAGAAACTACCTATCAGGAAGAAAACAAATTGTTAAATTCAAATTAACCAGCTCAGATTACTTAACAATTAAGTGTGTGCCACAAGGCTTCGTTCTTGGACCACTCTTGTTTTTAATATATATCAGTGATATATGAAAAAGCTCTGAGATATTATCCTTTGTTTTATTTGCTGATGATACAAATCTGTTTTTAAGTCACCAAGATTTAGACTAAGATCTATTTATAAACCACAAAAGAAAATAGTAAGACTTATGACCTTTTCAGGTTTTCGAGAAACGTCTAAGCCTTTGTTTAAGTTATTAAAAGTAATGAATATATATGAAATAAATCTATACCTAAATGAAAACTTCATGTACTTACATTATTATGGCAAACGTCCTGAAACTTTTGGTGACTACTTCGTAATAAATGATATTACACGCTCCCATAATACAAAGTCAGCCTCAAAAATACACATTGATTTTAAAAGAACAATTTATGGAAAATTTTCTCTTCAGTATAGAGGAGCAATAACATGGAATAGTTTACCAAGTGATTTAAAAGAATTAAAATCAAGTAACGCATTCAAGAAAGCATTACATACATATGTACAATCAGCTAATAACACTCTTTGATACCTTGATTAATATGTAAACTAATACTCCTTATGCCACCTTATTTATCAACTATGTAAAGAAATCATTGGGGAACCTTAAAAAGGCTCATCAGAGATTGCTGTGTTCCCCTTTGCCTTAACTATACACATATTTTTGTAATAGCAAGGTTATGTACAATGTATGAAGGTTGGCAATAAACCAATAAAGTTAAAAAGAAAGGCTGAAAAACTCAACGACTCTTCATTAAATCTCGTGAAGTAGGACGGCTTGTCTGTCCGAAATATCGGGAAACCGAAAGTCGCTTCTCTCTTTGCTGTATTAACAGTGGTATCGTACTTCCATCGTTTTAGCGTTTTCTTGTGGACAGGTGAAAACGATTCCAATACACTACATGTAGACACGTATTATTTTGAATACAGTGGACTCCCGATAACTCGAACCCTCGCTAACTCGAACCTCGAGCTAACTCGAACCAAAATCGATTTCCCCTGGATTTCCGTCATACATTCACTGTTATTTTACCCTCGATAGTCGAACCCTCGATAACTCGAACTCCCGCTAACTCGAACCAATTTTCGTTTCCCCTCAGGTCATTTTCTATCTAATTTTACCCTCGATAACTCGAACCATGTTTTGAGCCCTTAAAAAGTCGGGAAAAAAGCCGTCTCCTGGCATCCAAAACATTGAATTTTGGATTTCCTGTTGACGTGTTGTAGGAGTATAGTTTACTAGTGGAGGCTGATGTTAATTGTCACAGGCGAACGTGAAACAGCTTTACTTCTCAAAACAGTAACACGCATGCTCTATCTAGGCTATGTTTTGTTACGTTACGTTCTCGGATTTATGATCTAGAAGTATCTTTTAATTTTCACTTGACATTTCTATAATTAAATGTGATAAAAATGTTAACTGTGCAGTAAAAACTGTTTTTTACCTTACTCTCGGCTATTTTGTTCGAGATCCCGATAACTCGAACTCCTGATAACTCGAACCTTTTTCGATTTCCCTTGAAGGTTCGAGTTATCGAGTTGGGTGCCTTGTTTGCATTGGATATAATGAGTGTTTTGTTGTCAACAATATCGTGATTAGTTATTACATTCTCATAACCAACACTGGATGTAAACTGGCTCTTATTAACTGCTTTTAGGATCTTTATTGGTTGATCTTCTAAGAATGAAACCAGAGTTGATAGAGCAGTTGGCAGGGTTCCTAGACAGAGAAACTTGGGTGAGGCCAAATTGGATGCACTTATCCAGAGAGCTGAACGTTGATATAGGAGTCATAGAGGAATTGAGTCCATACACCGAGTCCAGTCCAACCATCAAGCTTTTTAAATACCTCAAAAAGTATAATCGTCCCGATACCATTCAACAACTCAAACAAGCACTTTTGGACATGAGAAGGGATGATCTATGTTCCCTACTAGAGAATAAAGGTAATTAAAGATAGATTTGAAAGTAGACGGAATCCTTTTTTGGATGATCAAAAGCATATGCCAACTCAAACTGAACAATGGAAACTAAGACGACGATAATCATTAAAAGCATCAGAAATTTAAGAAATAAACATTTATTAGACAGAGTTTTCATTGTCAACCCCATACGTGTCCGTTGTGTTTTAATTAAGAACCTTAGCGTTTGAATGGTTCTTTTTCATTTAAGGACCAGAGTGTAAAGAGGGTATGTGACTATAGAGTAATAATAATGATAGTGATAATAATAATAGTAGTAATAATAACGAATCTGCTGTGAATTTGCGCCCTTTCAGGTAACGTCCACACGAATCCGGATATTTTTGAAACCCCCTACTTTCATTTTCTTTACACGAAACCAGTGAATCCGGACATCAAAAAAGCATTGTTTTTAAACCGTTCTCCATTAAACTTGAGCGGTTTAAGAGCGAGCCCGTCCTCACGAATTCGGATACAACTGAATACCGTAAATGACCTAATAAATGGCCACTTCCAAATAAACGCCTTTTATCTAATAAACGCCCCTTTTTTCACGCCCCTCTCTAATAAACGCCCCGTGTCTAACAGACTCACCCTACCAGAATCACCCCAGAATAATTGGAATTAGCAAAAAGGAGCAAAATTATTCAAGTCATTCACTTTTTTGCTTTATTAACAAGGCTTTGCGTATTTCACCTTGTTTAATGTCAAGTTCACATTAAGGATAGACTAACGATGGCAACACAATAACCCTGAGCGAGGATTCTGACATCGATTTTGGAATTTGAAAGAGCGATATGGATCCTCTAGACGTATTAATTGATGGCGTGAATATTCCGTTATTTTTAAACTTTCTTAATATTTTCACAAGTATATATCAGTTACTAAATTTGCAAAGAGAATAAAGCAAACGGCAAAGCAGCAGGCCCAAGATTTAGAAATGAAGCATTGAGAAGAAAAAGGACTACACGGAAGATACCCCAAAAGAATAAGAGAAGCGGATGTTGATGATCGCAAAACCAAACCTGTGGCTCAGAAGTACTGAACTTAAAGCTGAAACAGAGGGTCTAATAATTGCAGACCAGGACCAGCTACTAAGTCTTACTTTGCAAGATTTGTGAAGGATTACACCAGTCCACTCACTTTGCAGGATATGTAAAAGCAAGAAGAAACGGTTGATCATATTTTATCTGGATGTTCCGAACTTGCAAACACAGGGTATATATAATAAAGCAGCTGAAGGCGTCGAAAGGGGTAGAGGATTCGGAGGAAGGGAAAAAGAAGTGGGATTGCGGAGAGAGTGTAAGGGACTTTTCCCTTTCGCTCTCGATCTTTTCTCCCCGTCGCCTCCCCTTTTTGCGCCACGCAGGCTAGGAGCTATTAACTTTAATGAGCTGCCAAAGACCATCTTCTTGGGAACGGCGCGCATACTAAGGCCACGTCCACATGAATCCGGATACGCTGAAATCGCATCCTTGATATTTGCGTCAACACGAATTCGGTGTGGTGTATCCTAGTATACCCGTTTTGGATTCATACGCTACGGCGATTTGCATTAGCTAATTACTAGCTAGTAGGCATGCGCAAACCGAGCCCGCGATGTGACTTCGCGGTACTTTTTGATGCTTTAGTATCTAAAAATATATACGGGGCACAATGGCTAGGCCTGCCTGTACGTTGTCCCACCAGGCAAAATCGTCTTTAACGAGGTTCAGAACGATCTAAGACGTTTTATACGCCTTCCTCTCCGGCAACTAAAATATTGCACAATCTGGATGAGACTAAGTCTTCTTTTAAAATGGCTGATTGCTGTCGTCAAGATAGAAAAATTGATTTCAACGCATGCAATAAGCCTGGCGATAAGAGCCAGCAAAGTTGCAAACAGACATTGTCGTACACCATTTTGAACTTGAACGTTTCATTTAAGACTGGGCCCGAGTTTTTGACGTAGTGGACTTCAAAAATATCCGGTTTCAGTCGTCCACACGAATTCACCAAACCCGTCGGTTTAAGAAAATCCTCTTTGAAGAACGGTTTCACAAATGTACGGTTTCGGTGTGCGGATTCACTGGTTTCATGTGGACGAAAGGCCGAGTCGTATTTAAAAAGTATGCGGTTTCAAAAGTATACGGGGCCTAAGGCACGCACAGCAGTCTTTCAAATCCGGGGCCGCCGGAGAAGAGTGGTTACGAATGGGTCTCTGTGCCCGTTAAAATGGATCTAGCGGTAATTGTTAGAATGCTACGATCTACAGAGTTGCTTTGGCAAAGAATGAAATGATATCACCAAAAAACTGATTCAGGGTGTTTTCCACTTTTTGAGAAACAGACCGAACTTCGGGTTTCTCGTTTCTTTCCAATTACGCAGGTTGCAAATAACACGACAGGTTGCACCCAACGGCGGTTTTCTCCTATCTACATTAAAGATACCTTTTAGGCTGTCCAGAGTACTTCTGTGAAAATTAGACTTCATAAATAAATTAAAAAATATATTTATTTTAGCTGCCCTCAAGCTACAGAAAACTTTGGGTAATATTTGCTTTTCCGAACAGGTATTTTACAGAAAACAGTCGCTGGGTGCACGTGACACGACTCCTTGCTTGTTTGTCAGATTAGATCGATTTAAGTTCCTCTGTGTGGTTATGAGCCATTTAGCTACTCTAAACGTCTCAGGGGCTATTATGTCCATATCAAGAGAGGTCCATATTGAACCAAAACTTGTACAAGAACTGACAAAATATTTGCCTAGACCCGTACTTTGAGCAACTGAACTAAACAACTAATTATGGTGTTTTCAAAGATCTATTGACGCCATTAGTTCTCGGATCAGAACAGACTAATTAAATCTGATATTTTTTACTCGAGTTCCGTTACTTTTATTCTTTTCGCTCCGTACGCCAGTTCATCATCATATCGAGAAAAAGTGGCTTTGCTCACAGGCAAGAGTTAAGTGTCTTCGTTAAGGTCCGTTAACTCAGACGTTTTGTTTTTTGATTTTGAGCAACATTTGCTGCAGTTACGTTTTAGGCTCAATGTTATGGCAATTATTATATCTCCTATCTTATTCTCGATTATGGCTAGAAACAAAAACCAGAAACCTCACCTAGTATCAGAAAACTTAACTAATGAAACTAAAAACACTTTGAAAGATCTCTTTTCTTCAGTTGCACAAAAGATGTGGGTCCAAGGTTCTCCTAGCCCCTTCCCCTGCCCAGTCCCTGCATTGTATGTAATACATGATAATTCAAGATTATTGTTATGCTTCTGCTTATTTTATCTTCTATTTTCATAATTATCAATTCATTACTTTAGATGATTTTGTTATCCTCTCGGGTTTTTTAAGGTTTCTTCGACTATGAATTGGTTAGCAAAGAAATCGTATCGCGGAAAGTAGATGCTTCTTCAACAAGGTTTGGTGTTTTAGACGAATTAGCCCACGCATTGGATGGAGATTCACTGGTGTTGGGGAACTGGATTAACCTGGCTCTAAAGCTAGGAATACCTGTAAAATTTCCTGACTCCGTTCGAGAACGCTCTTCGTCAATAAGGAAATCAAGCATTAATCTCTTTGAGTATTTGTCAATTACTTATCCAAAGATGGCCATAAAATCAGTGAAGGAAGCGCTGGAAGTAATGAAACGCGATGACGTGCTAGAAATTATACAGGACCAATACCTGCAAGGTGAGCTCGATAGTTTAAAGACCTGCAAGATATTTTAACTTATCACAAGAGAGCATGTCTTGAGCTTTATCTCCTCTTGCTAATCAACATTAATCCTTGAATAAGTGTCCTGGGCGCTTATTTCTTATTTAGGGTAACAAAGAAAGTGCTTACTTGAGGGTGTGCTTACTCGAAAATGGGCGCACCTTTCATGTCTTCCCACATATTGGCTATTGTTGATAGTCTATTTTCCCATATGTTCATTCCTCTAATCAATAGACCGACTCGGATCACTGCTCATTCGGCCACACTTATTGATAATATATTCACGAATAATGTAAGGTGTAAACATTTCAATGGTATTGTTATTAATGATATTTCTGACCATCTACCGGTTTTTGTTTATGAAGTGGATGAGACAGAAATAGCGTCGAAAAATAGCCAAACTAAATATCTCACTAAAAGAGATTTTTCAGAAAGAAATAAGAGCAATTTTCGGCTCTCTCTTTCTCGTGTTAATTGGAATTTACGTTTCGATGAAAGCGATACTAATGAATGTTATAATAGTTTTGTGAGTGAGTATGTTCGATTATACAATGAAAGCTTTCCATTAAAAACGATAAAACTTAAAACAAAGAAAGTAATGCGCTCCCCTTGGATAACGCAATCTCTGCTTGTTTCTATCAGGAAAAAAGATAAACTCTATAAGCAGTTCATTAACTCTAGGGACTCAACTACTGAGTTAAAATACAAACGCTATCGGAACAAACTGAATCATCTTATAAAAATTGCTAAACGAAAGTACTATGATACAAAATTTGAGAAGGCTAAAAATAACCTGAAAGAAACTTGGAAACTAATCAATGATGTAATCAACAAACCGAGCAGAAAAGCAGCTCTGCCAAATTCCTTTTTCTCTGATGGAAAACTGTTAAATGATCCACAAGAAATAGCTAACTGCTTTTGTAAGTTCTTCACCAACATAGGTCCGAATTTAGCAAGGAAAATTCCAGACACACAAGTATCTTTTCGTAGTTTTCTTGGCGCTTCTGTTAATGAGTCGCTTATCTTAAATCCAACTAATATTTCGGAACTAAATCAAATATGCAACTCTTTTAAATCTGGAAAGTCGCCTGGATATGATAACGTTTCAATGGATATAATAAAAAGCACCTTTGATCTCATTTCTCAGCCTTTGGCCAATGTAATCAATTTGTCTCTTATTAAAGGAATATTTCCTGATGAACTGAAAATTGCTAAACTGATTCCGGTATTTAAAGCTGGTGATTCCCAGTATTTCACTAACTACCGTCCAATTTCGCTTCTTTCTAATTTTTCTAAATTCTTTGAAAGAGTTATGCACAATCGTATTACAAATTTTTTAGATCGTTTAGATATCTTATACTGTTGCCAATTTGGATTTCGTAAAAAATATTCTACAGCGCTGTCTTTAATTCATCTTATTAATAAAATTGCAACTGCTATTGACAGAAGCGAATATACAGTTGGCATATTCTTAGACTTATCAAAAGCATTTGATACTTTAGACCATCAAATACTCTTGTCTAAGCTTGAGCATTATGGGATTCATGGGCTAGCACTTAGCTGGTTGAAAAGCTATTTGTCAAATCGCGTGCAGTTTGTCCAGTACAAAGAGACTTGTTCTATTAGGCTGACTCTGAGCTGTGGAGTCCCTCAAGGTTCTATATTAGGACCATTATTGTTTGTTTTGTATATCAATGACCTCCCTTGTGCTACTCGTCTTGCTGAAACTATGCTTTTTGCAGATGATACTAGTGTGTTTTATTCTAATCCCGATTTAAATTGTGCTATTTCTGCCGTAAATAATGATTTATCTCAAATTGATCTTTTTATGAAAGCAAATAAGCTCTCTGTTAACATAACGAAAACTAATTATATCATTTTTTGCAGCAAGGCAAAAACCAGTCAACTTCCCAATAAATCCTGTCTTGTACGATGAGGTTTTATTAAAACAAGTAAAGGTAGTTAAATTTTTAGGGGTTTTTTTTATCGACGAGCATCTAACGTGGAAGCCGCATATTACTTATATATGTAAGAAAATTTCAAAATCTATTGGCGTCATGTTTAGGTCTCGTTTCTTTCTTTCTGAAACAACAAAAAAAATCTCTTTATTATACCTTAATTTATCCTTATTTAACATATTGTACCACAGTTTGGTCCTCCACTTATGTAACAAACCTTAATAGAATTTTTCTTCTACAAAAGCGAGCAGTACGAATTATTACAAATGCAGATTTTCGCGCGCACTCTGAACCATTATTTTTCCGTTTAAAGATTTTGGACATATACAACATTAATTCATTCTATACTGCACAATTTATGTTTTCATATTATCATCAATTACTGCCACCGCTTTTTTTCGAACCTTTTTGTTACTAGTAGCAATATTCATAATTATAATACTAGAAGTTCCTCGCATTTCCGTTCTCATGCCTGCCGAACTAACACCAAACAATTTTCTATTTTGTTCCAAGGCCCTAAAATTTGGAATTCTTTACCAAACTCAGTCACTTCGATTTTTACATTGCAATCGTTTAAAACGAAAGTTTTTGATTTTCTACTATATCGATAATGCGTCTTGTACTGTCCGTTGTTGTGTGTTGTTATAGTTCTATTGCTTAATATTATTGTAACGAGGGGGCCTCCTCGTACAAGCCTTGTGGTTTTCTGAGGTCCCCTCGCCACATCTTTGTATAATGTAATGCTTGTGTAATCTTTATTGTGGGAAAATAATAAATAAATAAATAAATAAATAAATAAAAGTATGTTGCCCTGTCTCTATGCCTCATTATTCGGCACGGTCAAAGCGTTTCGGGTCATGTGGTCCGGCGAAGATGCATGTGAGGCCTAGACAAAAATCCTCAAAAGTGAGACACAAGTGAGACATCTCATACGGTGGTTTACAAGACCAGTGTTTCGCATTTCAAGGTAACCTGAGATCAGGCCCAAATTTAGCAGTTCTCATACATTCTCTCTTATGTACGTAGTCACGCTAAAATTGGGCTTGATACAAGGTCTCCCAAGCTTGAGCTCACTGCTGCCAGATTTTGGCCACAACGCTGATTGACTGTTAGAACAATACCACAGGATCTGATTGGCTGTTGGAATCAACGGAAGTTGAAAGCGCTTATTCCTTGCGTGACTGCAGCACTCAAAAATCTTCGCGAATGATTCGCCGTCAGCGGAGAGATGGATTTTGCTGTCTTTTTTATTGTTTTACGGTCTTGTGGTAGGAAAATATACCTTGATATGTGCCTTGGAAATTCAGAAAATTCAAATGGTTGTCCATATCTTCTCAGGATTTGCTTAATTTAATTTACGAAACTAATGTGAGTGTATAGCGGAGTCGAATCCATGTGCAGGTTGTTGACCGCTAACAAGGTGCCTTTTGATTTACCAACAAAAGCTAGCAAGTCAAATACTGTCCATGTTAAAACTGGTTTCATTTGAAAGTTTAGCCGGGAACGATTTCTCTGAACGCGGTACGCAAGCTGAGGCTCACTGCTTAAGAAACCTCAATCGCCCGATGTAACTTTAAATCCAATCGCTGTTCAAGAAATTTTTGCATTGGAAGCATTATTATAAGAGCTAGGTAACAGACTTGTTTGCCTTCGCTTTTTGTAAAACATTAACCAGAAAAACTGTTGTCCTCGCTTGTTGGCTGTTTGCTGTCTTTTCATTTAGATTATTAAATTTAGCGAGCTTTTCAGAACTTCAATAAAACAACAACACAACAGAACCACAAAGTGTATTTTCAATGTTGTTTTTCATTTTGTTTATAGGTCAGTTGCGTATGCAGTCTCAGTATTGTCGTTTCGTCTATCAAAAGTGGCAGATAATATTTCCCTGGATTTATAAAAAATATATTTTCTTAGACGGTTGTTTCTTGTTTCACGGACTAAATTAATCGTTCTTACTTTGAAAATTCTCGCGGCCGTTTAAATGGGTTAAAGAGATACAAACTCCGATAGTTCAGTTGGAATGATGAGATTGAAGGAGCAGAAATTTCTTTACAGGACTATGAATAACATTCTGATGACTTTTCAAAGTGTGTCGATCTCGCAAATATCCACAAAGGTTTTTTAAAAAACCATAATTTCCTGCTGTTTACAAAATCTTTAATTTCAAAAGCAACGTACACATGCGCATTCCGTGTTTGCCAAGACCTTTCCCGCCCGTTCGCCTCGGATACGTCACCGAGGAGAATAGAAAAACGCCATACAGGGACTAGGTAAGCTAGAATTAAACGCTCAGTATTGTCGGAGTGACAGACCTAAATGGTAAATGTAAATGTAGAATGTTCACTAGCGTGCAAAAAAAAAATCGTTATATGCTGCGCTGTTTGACGTAAAGGTTATTTGGCGTCACCAGTTTCCGGTAATCCCTAATTGAACATTGTTTTTCTAATGTTTGCCGAAAGCGTTCATAAAATGAATGATTATCAGATTATTGTGTAAATCCGTTAGTTCGGTTAGTTAAATACCAAGAAAGAGCTGTGGTCGGATTATTCGAGAGCAAGGTTGGCAAGCTTTTCTAGATCTGTAAGTGGCTGTGATGGTACATATTGTGTAAGTTGGAGTCTAATAATCCCTTTTACTTTTACCACCGTACATTAAAAGAACCAATCAATCATTAAATAAAAGTACATTGGGTAAAGGAAAGCAATTGCTGGTTTTCACTGTCACGCCATCAAAAATAAAAATCAAAACCGTTCAACAG